TATGGTTTCTTCTAGGACTTTTATGGTTTCATGTCATACGTTTAAGTGTTTTATCCATTTTGAGTTTTCTCTTTTGTATAGTGTAAGTTGGTGGTCTAGTTTTATTTTTTTTTTGCATATACCTGTCCAATTTTCCCAACGCCATTTATTGAAGAGACTGTCTCTGCTACAATTTATGCTCTTGCTTCCTTTGTCAAATATTAATTGAGCATAGTGGTTTGGGTCAATTTCTGGGTTCTTTATTCTGTTCTAATGATCTACATGCCTGTTCTTGTGCCAGTACCAGGCTGTTTTGAGTACAGTGGCTTTGTAGTGTAACTTGATATTTGGTATTGTGATTCCTCCAACGTTGCTTTTCTTCCTCAAGATTGCGGCAGCTATTTGCTTTCCTAGCAATATCTTTACTGATACATCTCCTAGGAAAATGGAAACTAAAGAGAAAATAAACCAATGGGACTACATAAAATAAAAAGCTTCTGCACAGCAAAAGAAACCATCATCAAAATAACAAGAGAGCCTACTACATGGGAGAACATATTTGCCAATGATACATCTGATAAGGTGTAATCTCCAAAATATATAAGGAACTCATACAATTTAACAAAAGGAAGACAAACAGTCCAATTAAAAAATGGGCAAAGGACCAAGACACTTCTCCAAAGAGGACATACAGAAAGCAAAGAGACATAAAAAATGTTCAAAGTCACTAATCATTCAAGATATGCAAATCAAAATGACAGTGAGATATCACCTCACACCTGTCGGGAGTGTTATCATCAACAAATCAACCAATGACAAGTGCTGATGAGGTTATGGAGAAAAGGGAACCTTCATACACTGCTGGTAGGAATGCAGACTGGTGCAGTCACTGTGGAAAACAGTATGGAAGTTCCTCAAAAAATAAAAAATGGAACTCCCATTTGACCCAGTCATCCCACTTCTAGGAATATATCCTAAGAAACCCGAAACACTCATCAGAAAGGATATATGCACCCCTATGTTCTTAGCAGCTCAACTTACAATAGCTAAGATTTGGAAACAGCCTAAGTGCCCTTCCGCAGATGAGTGGATAAAAAAACTGTGGTACATCTACACAATGGAATACTATGCAGCTGTAAGGAAGAAGAACTCTTACCATTTGCAACAGTATGGATGGACCTGGAGAATATTATGCTGAGTGAAATAAGCCAGTCAGAGAAAGATAAGAATCACATGATCTCACTCATATGTGGACTCTAATGAACCAAATAAACTGATGGTCAAAAATAGTCATAGAAGCATGAACAGACTGTTGAACCTCAGAGGGAAGGCAGGGGAGGGTGGATGGGAAAAGATCAACCTGTATGCATATATGCATAACCCATGGACATGGACAATGAGGTGGTGAGGGCCTGGGGTGGGGGAGATGGGAGCAGGCTGGAAGAGGTTAAAGGGGGGAAAAAGGAGGACCTATGTAATACTTTCAACAATAAAGATAAAAAAAATACTTTAATTTTTCATGTGTTGAGATCCTGCTCATGCTGAGCCCTTCTTTGGACTAGATCTGTTAAGTTGTGAAGCAGAGGGGTGAAGAGGACAAACTCTGGAGCCTAATTACCTGGATTAATCCTGACTCCACAGTAGCTATTGAACCTGTTGAAGCCTCAGTTTCATCACCTAAAAAATGGGTATAATAATGCCTGGGACAGAGAAAGTCTTCAATGTGCAGAGTAGCTAAAATAAGCATAAAATGTTTGGTATAGTGTCTGCCACAGAGTCAATAAGTGGTACTTTTGTAACAATTATTACGATCGGTGACAATGACACTAAAGAAAGAGTGGCAGATAAAATGATGGAGAAAGTCAGAAACGTCCATGTGCTGAGGTTACAGGAAAAAACAGAGAGAAATATAATGACCTGCACTGAGCAAGGCTTAACATCTTGGATCTTTAACTAAGGGAAAAGAAAGAAGCACGCAATGGTAGTAAATTAGGAATATGGAGAAATTATCATCGTTGTTTCTTTTTATTTGTGTTTATTGTGTGGTGGTAGGGTGATTACCAGTTTTATTTGAATGTTTTATAAGCTGTTAGATTTATTTACTGAGAATGAACAGATAAATAGGGATGTTATTCAGCTGTGCCATGTCATGGGTTCTCACAGCCAGTTCTTCTGCTAACTTTCAGACAAGGTTAATTAACGAGGGAAGTTCACCGTGGAGGGAGGAGGGGGAGCGCTGGGTCTGCTGGATGATTCATCTTATGGTGGTGGTGGTGGGAGGTGATGAATCTCCTCTTGTTAGTGGTTTGGGGGAGGGGTTAGGCATTGGAGGGAAACTTTTATGATACCTTGAGAAAGATGTACTGACAGAGTTATGTCACAAGAGTGTGATCACTTTAACATATATGATTGGATGGAAATGGGAACAGGTCCTAAATCCTTTCCAGTCCTAGACATCCACGATTGTACTTTTTAATATTTTGTTTCTCAAAGGCCCCTTCCTACAGCAAGGTGTCTTCCATCCTAAACCCAAGGAACTCCAGAAACTCTTCTTCCTTATGTTTTCATCATGTTCCCTTCTCATTCACCACTCACAGGTGACATGTCACCTGCTCAGGGAGACCTTCTATGACCCCCCTAACTAATGTGGGGCCCCACCAGCCATGCCTTCACATTACCTTGCTTCACTGTCTGTGTAATAGTGTAGCCTCATGGTTGAGTACATGGGTTTTGAGCCAGAATCCCAGAGTTCAAAACCTAGTTCTGTCCCTTCAACCTGTGACCTTGAGATATGCAATTGACCTCTTCTGCCTCAGTTTCTTCATCTGTAAAATGAAAACAATGGACTACTTTCTTCTAGGATTTTGGCGGGGCTAATACACGTACCCAGTACCATGCCCTACACCTTGCCGTGTGCATAAATGTAGCTGCTGTTATTTTAGTCCTCATTGCTCTCTGAAACCACCTTCTTTATTTATTCCCTTCTCATCATCTTGTCATTGTCTGTCTCCCCTGGTTGGAATGCAATGCCATGGAAGCAGAGACTTTTTAATGTTAGTACTGCGTTTCCAGGATCTAGAAGAGGCTTCATAGTAGGAGCTCAGTAAATATTTGTTGAATGAATGAATGTTGTGTTACTATTTAAGACATTAGTTTGCCCAATTTCAGCTCATGTTACTGAGGTTCCCCTATAGCAAAACAAACAGAACCCAAGCTATTTGGTTTCTTGCCTAGATTGAAACTCATACTACTTTCCCATGTTATTTTTTTACCCAGACATCCCACATTTTTGCAGATCCAAAATTTTACAGAGCTTTTACATCGCTAGTTTGTCATGTGGGTGTTATACATTCTTTCAGAATATTAAATTAATGACATTGAATTACACTAAATATTCCTTTTTCAAATTATACCTCTTCTGTCCCACCTTCTTCACTCCTGGGATATGTCCCCTACAAACCAGTAAAAACCACTAAAGGTGAAGAACAAATGCTGACAGACAGACAGTAATCCTTGAAAAGAAGCCCTACAGCTCCTGAAAGCTGGACACAAAGAATATATCTTTTTTGCATTCAGATGACAATAATCATTAAACCCATATTTTACCAATAGAAACCAAACTGGCTAATGCTACACAGTAATAACTGATAAATGTATTTTGCTCAGCAAGGTAGGAAAATACAAAACGATCCTAAGGATGGAGCCTGGTTTGTTTTCCTACAACATATCTCGTTGTAACGGGGTCTGTAGGGAAAGCAGCAGCAGGTGGCCGCTCAGGCCCCCTCCTTCACTCTGACCCTGTTAAAAGCTATGGCTGCTCCGAGCCTGCCTTTTAGACAAGTCAGCTCAGGTTCGGGTGGTGCACGGAAGGGCCCGATTCCCAACCTGCTGTCTTTTTTCTCTGAAGAATTCATGTCAAATACAGTGCCTGACTCTGACTTTTATGCAGAGTCTTGATGACTTATATCAGGTTTTTAAGGCCTGATTATACGGACTGTTACCCTCGCTGACGGGGGTCACCCTAAAAAGCTTAGCTGTCAAAAGCCCTACACTCTGAAATAGGGAAAGGTTGTGGGGGCCACATTCATAGTACAGTCTACTTCTGTTTATCCTCCACATGTAATAAATATTGTTTGAGAGGTTGGTTAGTGTGATATGATTCACATTGCCAAAGGCATTTCATAAGTTTCATAGGTCTTAATTTATGTCACTATAGTAACTAAAATGATATAATAATGCAGATTACAGCTCTAGACTTGGTCTTCATTGTTGTGAGGAACATATAATCTGTATACTGAGTATTCTATGTGCTAAGGTATATGATTTCTGATGTCCAACCTGATTTTCGTATATACATGTATGAATTTCAGTGGCCAGTCTGAAATATTAAAATGGATAGTCTTTCTCTCAAGAGAAAGGGAGACTTTGAAGAGTTAAGTGGGAGAAGTGGAATTCTGATAAGCAGCAATTACAGAATTCTCATTTTAAGGACTGATATATATTTGGCTCACCTTCTCCGACAAAGTGAATTTCTAGCATGTGCTGAGGCCCTTGGTGCGTTATTCACAAGTGCTTTAAGAAAAGGCCTGATATTGAGGCATTTGGTGTAGCAGTAATGTCTGAAGTGAGTCTAAGGCAGCGGTTCTCAACCTGTAGGTCACGACCCCTTTGGCGGTCGAACGACCCTTTCACAGGGGTTGCCTAAGACCATCCTGCATACCAGATATTTACATTACGATTCATACCAGTAGCAACATTACAGTTATGAAGTAGCAACAAAAATAATTTTATAGTTGGGTCACAACATGAGGAACTGTATTTAAAGGGCCAGAAGGTTGAGAACCGCTGGCCTAAAGTGTAATGAAGCCCTACCTTGAGACAGGAAGATAGCTAAGAACCCTGTGGGTTGCTCAAGATCACATGTATCAATTATACGGACCCAACGCAGTTCGGAAACTCAATACAAATGATCCAGGATTGACCTAAGACAAAGCTATTTCCACTTCCGGAGCCCAGCTTACCTTATATCCTGATGATTTGATGTGCACGCCGCGTTTGGTCAGAGTAGATTTCATTCGGATGAAAAAGGAACGCTCAAGGGTGTTGTCAGTGGTTAGCAGACTGGGACTGGTTGACTCCACTGAGGAATACAAAGACATACACAGGATTTAGATCTCTGCACAGCCCCTCACAGCTACTGCTCAGGTGCAGTCCTTGAGTTCACTAAAAAGAAATGCCTGATAGGTGCTAAGAGCCCAGTAATCAAGTTACCTCATTTAGAAAATGTTTACTTTGCAGAAAATAAAAAAGAAAAATTAATTTATCCAAAGTAACTTCATTCCAGTTTCTAGCAAGAGTTTTTTGGGCCTTTTAATTCCCAGCAGCTCCCTAAGTGAGGTCTGATAGCAACTAAGCAGTGACAGCACACCTGGGGGGTTGGCCCGTGTGCATGGAGAGAACTGTCATGAAAAAGAAAGAGTCCCCAGATTGACGGGATCAACTAAGACTCAGGCAGAGCTGCTTCCCAGGAAGGGTAAGGATGGCTTGCTCCTTGTTCTCCCTGAGAATCCTGTCTTGTATCTTTGACCTCCTGGGGCGTTCTGAGAACCACAGAACCATCAAATGCCCTTGCGTTCTTGAGTTGGTTTTCTTCATTGTGGGGAACAGGAAGCATGAAAACTTCTCAACTGACTGAAGACAGAGGGCTGAGAGTGGGATGTACAGACAGAAACAAGCACCAGCTCCCCACAATCCCAACTTTCCATTCCCATCGCTAACGGCAGCCTGTCCTCTGCCCTCCCCCGAACAGGAAACAGTCTCTGGGTTCCCCCCTTCCCTGCTTCTGGGATGGGAAAATAAGTGTCCTCTCTTAGTAAGACACTCTTTCCTTTTACATATTTTTAGACTAAGTACAATGCATTTTTACTTATGAAACTTAAAATGGTAGTTTGCCGTCTTGCTGATCTAAAAAATGCCTTTATTCATAAGACTGGAAGGCAACATAAGTCTATTTTCTTTAAAGTCAAGCTTCTAAGGTATCATATAAATTTGTTTTTCCTGCAAAAAAATAACTTTGGGCTGTTTAAGCCCAATAAATACTCTCATTTTATTCCTCTAAAATAGTGCTTTTAAAGTTTTTCTTATTCTAAAACAAAAAAAAGTTGCAACAACAAATAGTATTTCTTTTGAGCAGCCCTTATTCTGATATTCTCAAAGTAGAATATCAAAATAGCACTGATATTCTCTGGATGGGGGTAAAGATTTAAGAATTAAATAGATAGTTTATGAAAACAAAGGAAAATAGGCCAAAAACTAAAATTTTATATTGTATAACATATTCCATATTTCTAAGGCAAAGACATCTCTACTTTTTTATATTAAACGTTGTGCTCAGACGAAAGAAGAATGAGAGCTACTGTAAAAGAGAACGCTTGCTATATGTGGTCTATGGCCTTCCTGTATCATCCCTGTCTTAATGTGACTATATTTTCCTATATTTATGGCATTTCTATTCTGGGGTGATAGAACCACTGACAAGTGTCCTTTTCTTATGTCCCTTTCTTAAGATTTTCTTTTTTTTTGTTTTTGAGAGAATGGATCTGATGTCATTTTAAATGTACAGCTTTTTATCACTCGAGGGAAAAGCAGAGCCATGTTATATTTAGTACTTTCATTTCTTCTGATTAAATATGAATTACTATGAAATTTTTCTCATCATCTAACACGCCATAATACGCCAACAGCTTTTTAATACACTATATAAGCACAAACTTCTGCTCTAAGAGTTTAATTTACCCCTCTAATCCAATCACATCAACCTTATTTCTCTTATCAGAGATTCCCATTTTGAATTAAATGAGCTCATTAGTTTTAATCAAAAGCAGAGAGATCAAAACTTAAACGTAAATGCTTTAGATCAGAACTGTCAGTCAGCCGTGCAGTTCTATTTTACTAAAACACAAGATCAGAGACCCTTAGAACCATTTTTTTTTTTCTCGTAAGGGATGCCGAGAGCTTGAGGATGTTATATCCTTTTTTTTCCTCCCAAGGACAGATTATACATTTAAGGTTAGACTTAATTTATAGTGGTTTTTCATCCTGGTGGAAATGGAAAACTATGCCAATCTACTGTTGTCCCTTTCACATTTATTGGCCCTGGTCCTCAGAGACTTGAACTAACGTGCTGCCATCAGAATCCACACCGCAAACTCGGCCTTAAAAATTCAGCTCTGTTCAGCAAGATCGTGTTTGCAATAGCTGAGGACAAATGGAACTTCCCAGAGAAGTGAAATATGGTCAGGGCTAGGCTTCTGGATACCCTACCCCAGTAAAGAAGGAGCCATCTACCTGTAGAAGAGTGAGCAATTTAGGCACCATTAGAAATTGTTATTGTGCTCAGTGTGGGGCTGCACAGCAAACACTTAGCATGCACATTAGAGACCACAGCATGGGTACTTCCCGCTGAATGGGGATGCGAGACACAAGCTTCGCATGAGCTCTGGAGGCGGAACATTGTGTGACCGGAATGAGGCAGCATCCCCGTGTGTTACAACAGTAATTGTCTAAACATACAGGGCTGCGTTAATTCAACCCATGACAGCTGGTGTGCAGTTGTCAAAGTCAAAGTCAGGTTTTGCCCCATGGAAACTGAGATTTAAAATCTAAACTGGCCCTCAAGCTTTATTTCAAGAGTGTAGAGGGATGGCGTTGAGGAGAAGGGTTTGATTCCTGATGAAGATTTCTCTTTTAATCCCATATGACTGTCTGCTTCTGAGAAGGGGCAGAGGTCATGAGCCACACTGTCCCTATCAAAGGAGCATGTGACAAACTCTTTCGGCACCCACACCATGGCCATGTTTGCTCAGGGCCAGCCAGTGCGCTATGGCCATCCCAGCTCCAACAATGGTATCTGTCCTGTGCACAGACAGAGGGGAGGCGTCCGAAGTGTCTCGGGTGAGAAGCACCATGTTCACAAAGGTTCTGCTTGGGACAGAGCCAAGGCAGCATGGCCCTGGTGGGTGATAGGACTGCGGCACTCAACAGAGAAGGGGTGTGTGCGTACGTGCCTGTGTGCGCATACATGTATGTGTGTGTTGGGGGGAGTGTGAAGAGAGGGTGGAGTAATGAGAAACGTATCCTTAGGACTGGAGCTACATAAAGACAGTGGGAACCAGTCTATATCAAAGAAGCATTTTAGAGAGCTTTCTAGGAATCAACGACTTTTCTGTGAACTCACTGAGGCAGGCCGTGATAGCTGCATGCTCTGATAAGAAATCTGGGATTCAGAGACGTTACATCTGCTGCCTGAGACACAGGAGAAATTTATGGATAAAACTGGATTAAGTGGTCAAAGCTTAGATGTGGCCAGTTATGACCTATGAATGATAAACAAGGAGCTAAAAAACAAAAACAAAAATAAGACGCATGCAACTCAAAGCTAGATAAAGAAATATACTCTCTTTTGCTGAATGTCAAGGGCCTCAACTTTTCAATAAATCTAAATTATCTCAGCTCTTGAAATGTCACTTTTTGCATATTTTGTAAAATTTACAGAACAATTTACAGCAAAAGTTATAATAATTTTTATGCTGGCAAATGCCACCATAATGTGAAACAATGTCTGTGTTATTCCACATCTGCTTATGATTCCCTAACTGGTTTTGGAGTTGCTGCTTCCTTATCGTTACGTAGGGGCAGGAGGTGGCGGAGGGTAGGAAGGACGGGTGGCTGAGGACCATCTAGTTCTCGCCGGCCAATCCTAGGCCAGGTCCATTCTGGACACTTGCAGTATTCTCCCCAGGGTCTCTGCTGGTGAAGGAGATCAAAGCATACAGAGGGCCTTTCTTTTCAGTCACTCCAAGTGTTAGTATAATTCTAAACGTCAGAACCCTCCAACTGCCACCAAATCCTGATGTATGAGGGAGAAAAAACATTTAAAAATGTTAAGTTTTGAGAAAATGTTGTTACTCTTCCATTGTGAACAAAGTATTTTTCCTTTTAAAGAAGTGGGGTTGGGGGGTAAGGCACTAAGAGCCGGAACTACTCAGATAATCTGCTACTGGGTTCCTGACCTGTAGAAACTATGTAAGATAGCTTTGTTGTTTTTAAGCTGTCAATATTTGGGGTAATTTGTTTTGCAACAATATATAACTAATATAACATCCATGTAGAAACTCTGGAAAAATCATCGCCTTGTTTTGATCTGTGACAACCATGAATGTGTGTACAACTCACGCGACAGAAGGAATGCGCTGCCCGATGTGTCAGTACCTGGAGAACCCACATGTGCAGGGAAAGCTGCCTGCAATGCTGACTGTTGTAAGCAGGGCCTGTGTTCTCAAAGGTAAATGCTCAATTGATGTTTTAAAATGTGCAGTTTGCAAGAGATGCTATCAACAGTGTCATCTACAAGATTGTGAGATCTTGAAAAGCAGGCCTGGTGTCTTTTTGTCTTTTGTGTCTATTCTCTGCTCTTCTCCAGCCTCCCTCATCTCCCCAAGTGCCTAGGATTGTGTTTGACATAAACAGTACTCAGTCTGCATGTAGAATAAAGTAGCAGTCAAATGCTTTCTTTTAAGAGGAATTATTTTCTTTTACACCAAACATCCATCTCTCTCTCTCTCTCTCTCTCTCTCTCTCTCTCTCTCTCTCTCTCTCTCTCTCTCTCTCTCTCTCTCTCTGGGGTTGGGAGAGGGAATCATTGTGTCTTCTCCTGTACTCATCTCTAAGGAAGCGTTTTCTGCAAAGTGTTATTTTTAGAGTCATAGGCCAGTGGGCTTGGTTGTTGAAAGAGGATTGGCCTGATTTCCCCCAGAATCAGAGGATTCTTTGTTCTCTGTCTTCTGAGGGTTGATTTTCGTCCCACTGGCCTGTCCTCTACCACGTGGCAGGGCAACTTTGAAGGGGGTCGCGGCTCCTAGGAGCCTGGCCTGGCTCCTGCGCCCCCGGTGGCGAGGCGGTGTCCACCACCTTCCGTGGGCGCCATACACATGAAGTGCCAGCCGCTCCGCTCTGGCTCAGCAATCAGCCTCTCTCTGCTCCCCGGCTTTCTCTGGAACGCCATGAAAAAGCCACATTTATTTAGCCTCATTAGGGCTGGTCCCCATTCCCACTCAGCTGCCAGCCTCAGCTTTGTTTAAA